TATACATATACAGGGTGTTTCAGAGAACGCAGGCCAAATCGCTCCTGCGAAAACTACTCATCGCAACGAAAAAAGGCTTATGGCGTTTGTTAATTATTTTTGCGTAATTAACTTTTTTAATATTGTGTTTAAGGGCATGGTTTAAATTAGAAAATTCCGCATCATCATCGCAAAACACTAAATCAAGAAATCGCAGAACGATAGAAGGCACGCGAAGCATTTTACGGCTTTCTGGAAAACCGCACAAAATCGACGGGTTTTTCAGTTTCTGTTTGCTATCAGAGCGCATCTCAGCCTTGGCGGCACCGCGCCTTTTCCTAAATGGGCCCCTGGCCCAGAACCACAACGCCACAAGCCTTTTTTCGTTGCGATGAGTAGTTTTCGCAGAAGCGATTTGGCCTGCGTTCTCTCAAACACCCTGTATATATATGGGCGGTTTCATTTGGATTCAGGCAACGAGTGGCAGTCGTATTTTTTACTTTGCTTCACATTTTTATATTTCGTGGCGCATGTTCCAAGAATAACAATCCTTTTTATTTCAATGTTCTGACATGTTTAGTTTCTGAGAAAAAAAAAAAAAAAAATCTCGAAGAAGCGGGAAAGAACGACGAGGTTTTGACGATTGTCGTGTGTGGCATTCTTGAATTACTCCCAACCTCATAGTATTCAAAAGAGAACGTCTATATTTTTTTTTTTTTTTTGTGTGATATATATACAAGTAGGAAAGACGACATTATAGCTACTGTTTATTATTCGTCGCTCCAATCTTTGTAAAAATCCCTAAACATGCCTCCGCGAACAACTGTGACCTAAATTGCGGATTTTGTTTTGAGTCGACTATGTTTAGTATCGCTTTTAAAATAATATCATGTGTAGAACATTTCATTGCCTTCCAAATTAAGCAAAGTTTGCGTTTTTATCATGTACGAGTACTGAGAAATAAATTATGAAACAGAGGGTTTTCACTTTTCGTTCAATTTCAGCACGCTGTATAAAAAAAAAAAAAATCATTTTTAATTTTTTTTTCTTTTTTTCGCGTCGCGTTTTCTTCACACCCTTCTTTTAGCCAGAATACATTCCGGTAGAGGTATTTGCCTTGGTTTCGAGCTTTAAGCCTCTAAATATGCCAAAAAAGAGCAAATGCCAATGGTGGGATTTGACGATTTTCGTGTGTGGCGTTTTTGAACCACTCTCACTCTCAAAGTATTCAAAAGAGAACTTCGATATATATATATATATATATATATATATATATATATATATATATATATATATATATATATATATATATATATATATGCAAGTCGGTAAAACGACATTCCAACTAATATTTATTATTCGTCGATCCAATCTTTGTAAAAATCCCCAAACATGCCTCCGCGACACATGCGGTAAGGCGCCCGCGCGATTTTCCCGCCTCTTATCTAGCCCCAGCCTTGTACCTGCTCCAGGAGTGATAACTTTAGTGCGCCACTACTCTTCTCGCGCGCTCAATGACTTTCTGAAAATGACTGATTGAGTGGTTTTCTATAACGCTCAGGAACTCTTTAATTGGAGCCACATGTCTAGCTCCCCTAGTTAAAAAAATAATTAACAAATTTTAAATTAGCTAGTTAATTAGAACGTTTTTGGCAATTCCTGACATCCGTCGTGGCTGGTAGTTTGTTCCCGAAGACAGTTTCTTTTTTATTCAAACGCCCTAAGTTTTAGGATTTTTGAGTCTTCGCAAAAATACCCCATTAAATGAAGTTATTCTAGCCATGGAACCATTAGCATCGCCTGGCCTGCTAGCTCAGTCGGTTAGAGCGTCGTGCTAATAACGCGAAGGTCACAGGTTCGATCCCTGTGCAGGCCACTTCTTTTAATTTTCTTTCATGAAGTTTTACTTTTTGGCAGTCTTCGTACGTTTCATTCATTCAGTTTTGTTCGTTTGTTGTCCGAACAAGGAATGGAATGCGACCGTAAAGTCCCATACTTTCGATTATTATTATTATTATTATTATTATTATTAATATATTTTTTTTTTTTTTTTTTTTTTTTTTTTTTTTTTATTGATAGGGTCTGAGAAATCTCTTACTGCTAAATACCGACTTGGCGAGTTCGCATACAGACCGACCTTTAACACGCACGCACACGCACAGACACACAACTTTTTTTTTTTTTTTTTAAACTTGTTTAAAGAAAGCCGTGGAAGTTACTCTTATGCGGTTTGTGCAGGTGAGTTATACGGCCAGGGGGATATTATGTGGGTGGTTAATCTTTACGATAAGTCGGCTAATTATATTTATTTTCTAACTTTTTAATTAGTGAAAATAGACATGTGGCTCCAATTAAAACTCACTGGGCGTCATCGAAAACCACTAAATCAACTTTTTTTTAGAACCGACTTGAAACTCGTGGGAACCTCGGGGGCGCACCAGTTACCACTGGTGCAGCAGGCGCAAAGCTAGCAGTGGCGGAACGCTATGTAATCTAATTATCGCATTCCGACACCTTTGCGCCTGCTTCACGAGTGGTAACTTTGGCAAGCCCCCGAGTTTCCCATAAGATTCAAGTCGTTCTAAAAAGAGTTGATGAACGAATTTTAATTAGTCGACTTTTCGCAAAGATTAGCCACCCACATAATATCCACCAGGCCGTATAACTTACCTGCACAAACAGCATACGTGTGACGTTCACGCCTTTTTTTTAAACAAATCTGTAAAGCTTAAAAAAAAATGACATATTATATATTTAACAGAAAATGCGTGGCAATTGTTTTCCCATAAGTTGTCTGTTCCAGGTCTTTCAGTAAAAAGACAAACTTTCAGATTTTCTTTTATGTGAATGAGAAGCACGATCTGTCTGAAAATCCTTAAAATATGGTTTGTCTATGGATGTATTCCCCACCCAGCCTGCTAAAACAGCACTACCTTATTTTTTTTTTTTTTTTTTAACTCACATTTTTATGAAGTACTCTTATCAGCCTTCAAAAATCCTGGTGGATGTCAGAAAGTTTAACTCCTGTAACTAATTTGTTTCCGTCATGCCATACCATCTAAACTGCGGCTTTTTAGACTTTCTAACGTTTATCTCAGTTTCACTTTTTGACATTAAATCTTGGTTCTGGAAAACTACCATTTGATAATGAAACTTTGCAAGAAACGCGACTGTAAGCTTACGTACTGCATTTTCGTTTTTTTTTTTTGTTATAAAAAGCTGCAATATCTTCAACCTAATGGATGCAAAAAAACAAACAAAAAAAAAACTTCCTTTCATTTTGTTTTTATTAAAAATGGTATAATTTCCGTCATTTCTTTCCACGGCCACGTGACTCGGCTGTCATACTGTTTCACTAAGAGAACTGACCATTATCATTATTTCTTTTAAACAACAATTTTTTTCAGGGGGCGCGGTGTTTATTTGGTGTACTTTTATTTAACTCTTTGAAGGATATATTTATAAACGTAAAACTTCGCATGTCATCCTCTTTCCTAGCTACACTCTAAAAAAAGCCCGTGCGTCTACTTTCCCGCACAACACTCGAAGAGCCAATCACCGCAACTTACGGAGGCAGCTCAACGAATCGGCATCATCATTCGCTGAGCCGACTCCGTAAGTTGCGGTGATTGGCTCTCCGAGTGTTGTGCAGGAAAGTAGACGCACGGGCTTTTTTTCTTAGAGTGTATGAACGTGCCTTGAAAATTTCATACAAAACTAACAGTTATGAAGTTCACCTTCCTGAGCAGTATGAAAGAAATTGTTGTCGAGACTTGTTGCGCGTACGTAAGGCTATGGGTGTAAGTCGAAAGCCACCCCAGCAAGAGCAGCTGAAACCGACTATGAAGCCCTTGCACAGTGAAATTTGCGTATCCGAAGTAAAATTATCATCTTACATTAAACTGTTTTCTCTATATTCATGCCGAGTACCAAGTTGCCACTTTTATAAACCTGTTTCTCTCCTGCACCTTAACTTACATTCTAAAGTCTGTACAAGGCTAAACTGGGTTCCAACACCTTTGATGAAATAAACCAATTAACCTTGGGCTGTTACCTTGTTTATTGTTTCTTTATTACACAATCTCATAAAAGCAGCATGAGTAGTGTGTTTTTACAAATGAGTTTATTTACTGTTTATTTAGCAAACCACAAGGTTTTCTACAAACAAGTTTTTTTTTTTTTTTTTTTGCTTTTTTTACAGAAATTGTTACTTGAGCTGTATTTTACGGAATATCTTTTTTCAGCAAACCCAAGTAGCACACTTAGTTCTTTGAATGTCCTTAGGATGTCCTAACGTTCTGGGGAAGTCCTGCGGACATTCAAAGGTCATTTACAAGAACATTAGGACATCCAAAGGACATCACATTGCGAGAATGTAAACCCTATATTTTTACCGAAAGATGTCTATTTTTTCTAAATAAAACCATTTCTTTATTTTAGAAGACATTGTCTGCACGTTTCATGCTATCTTACATACATTTTAGTGTAGGATATGGAGACAGCAGAAAAGATTTTACTCAAACCTATTGATGCAAACATTTTTTTCTTAAACATTCTTGGTAATCTTTTTTATTATTTGCATTATGCTGCCTAGATAATTATTTTGACATTTCCTGTGAGCATTTTCAGTAGACCACGTCCCCTGTCCATTGTTGTTATTAGCAATGCAACATACACTTTGAACCCACAGTAAACGTTTCCATTCAGGTAAGTGACGAGTAATTATTTTTCTTGATAACAGCTTCAAGAAAGTCAAAAGTCATTGTTTAGGTTTAGCAGTAGCAAAGCTAATAACAATATAATGCGACTAAATGTGGTAGAACAAATGATGAAGTGGTGTCAAATAATTCAATAAAAGTGTTTAATGACATGTCCACTTAATGAAATGGCATTCAATGAAACAACATTTGATTGAATGTCTGGAACCAAAAATGTTGTCCAATTTCTTTTTTACAGCTTCCAGCAGTCTTGAATCGTGGAGGGGTGTTACTTGAATCATTAATAAACGTTAAGCTCGAAAGAACCGTTTAATTATTTATTTTGAAGATACTGCCAGCCAACTCTTGAAGGCCAATGCATGGTGTAGGCAAGACAATAAAAAATGTCAGCAAAACAATTATATACACAAAAACATTCAGTAAAACGAGTTAGCAGTTCAGTCCTTGGAGTTCATTGTAATGAAGGAAAGTTCATCAATTGCACCAGAAAATGTAGCTAAAGAGACAATATCTGTCAGCTGTGGGGCAACTCGTTCCAATCGCGAACGGTACGCAAAAAAAAAAAAAAATTTAAAATGTCTTTCCCGCAACGAAACTCATGAATCAGTTTCTCATGTTTTGTCATGCTTCATGGTTCACATTACAGTGAAGATAGTCATCAAACTTTAAACAAGTTTTGTTATGTATTATGCTATGTAAAAATTTTAAGCACTTTACTTTCCTTCAACATGTCAACTCAGGCAGTTTAGATGCACCATACAATGGTGAAACATGGGATTCTTTGCTGCATGAATTATAAATGAAACTAAGAATTTTTTTTAACCCCTCCAACAGGTCTATAGAGTTGAACCTCGATTTAACAAAGTCATCTTTTGAGCTGAAAATTTCGTTGAATCGCGAATTTCGTTGTACCGAGGTTTTTTGTTTTTTAGCATCGCAATTAGTCTTCCAGGCTCCAAAAACCCTCCAGTTGCCCCACATCTTGCAAGTGAGCATTTACAAAAAAAAAAAAAATTCCACTACAAAATGTGGCAACAAATGGAAGAATGCAGTTCATCGACCCTCACTTTGTATGGTTATGGGAGCAGTGCCTAGCACCGCAGGACAGCGTGCAGTCAGAAAGCAAAACGAAACCAATGCACCACAGCGATTACTTTCATCTTGATGTCGAGCGACAGGACTTTCCTTTTGCGCGGTGCACCACTCGGTGTTCCAAGAAAAACACAACCACTACCAACACAACACACGAGGCACAAAATATTTGTTGTTGCAGATGCGCAAGAGCTCTAGTTTGTTGGGCGTAGGTGCATGTTATGGTGGACTTTTCTTTTTTTTCCAGGAGAGGCAGAGGCTATGAGGCTACTCATCTTCTTCATCACCACCGCCATCACCGGTGTGTACTTTTTTATTTTGTGAAAAAGATAATGATCACACATTTTTATGTTTAGTTTTCAACAATAAGGTTAGTTTCAGTTAAATTTTTTTTCTCGCAAAAGCCGTTGATTTGTGTTTGTGCAATTTACGAAGACTTTGTTAAATCGAAACTGTGGCACAAAAGTACTTCACTAAATCGAGAGATAAAATACAATGTGTTCAATCGAAGCAAGATAGGGAGACGAAAACAATTTCGTTAAATCATGCATTTTGTTAGATCGGGGTTCGTTAGATCGAGGTTCAACTGTATATGATTGTGAATGAGGGTTCCATAAGACGTCGGCATAATCTAGCAAAGGACGGATTAGGGATTTATACGCCGTTAGCTTCGTTTCAGGAGTGCAGTGTATCATGGTCTTCCGCAGAGACCACAGCTTTCTAGACGCTTTGGCAATAACTTCTCCAAAGTAAAAAGTTTGGCTTAAAAGTAATCGTTACGCCTAGATACTTGTATTTATTGACTACAGCTAAAGCTTTGGAGTTGATAGTGTAGGGGGAAAAACGCAGTACCTTTTTCAGCATTATTGCCATTTGCACGCATTTCTTAACGTCCAAGTCCATTTGAAACTTTTGACACTAGAAAAAAATAATTTGAAGGCTATCATCTAAACACAAATGCAGGCTATTTTGGAAAAGAGTATACAGTCATCTGCGAAAAATCTACACTGTATCGAGGGTTTATCTACTATTAGATTGTTGGTAAAAAATAAAAAGAGCAATGGTGCGAGTACCGAGCCCTGGGATACTCCAGACAGAATGGGTAATTCAATGGATTCTGCATTGCCCACAGACACAGAAGTAAGAGTCTAACCATTTCAAGAAAAATTATTTTATAATACCTGCTTCAGCTTATGCAATAACTTGCAATATAAAACCCTGTCGAACGCCTTCGCGAAATCTAAGAAAACAGCATTGACTTGATCATTATTATCAATTACTGTAGCAAAATTATGAACCGTGTGGAGAAGTTGTGTCCCTGTCCAGCACACTCTAAAGAACCCGAGCTGTTCATCTATTAGAAACGCCATAGAGTCTAGAAGTGTTATGATGGGCTTGAAAATGAAATGTTCAAGAACCTTGCTACATGGACTCAACGACAACACTGGTCTAATTGGAAACACTCTTACATATAGGCACTACTTTGGCTACTTTCCAATCTTGTGGCACCTGACCTTTTTTTGAACTGCAAGAGTGAATCACGTAAAGAAACGTGGAACACCATTCGGCACCTACGCCCAACAAATTAGAATCTATTCAGAATCGTGCTGCCCGATTCATTCTTTCTAATTATGAATGCACTGCCAGTGTGTCGGCCATGAAGGCTTCCTTATGCCTCCCCACTCTCATTTCTCGCTGAAGAATATCACGCATCTGTCTTTTCCAGAAGATTTTTTATTACCACCCTCTACTCAGACAGTCTCTACTGTTAGAACCGCATCGTTCATCCCGACGACTTTCTCCCTTAGTGTTCGTCGCATCCATGGTTCCACTGTCACCTTTAACAGCTCATTTCTTCCCCTTGCCATAATAGAGTGGAACAATCTACCGGACCATGTAGTGTTCATCAGTGACCCCGACCTCTTCAGACATGCTGTATCGTCTATATTTAATATGTAATCAGTGCGATGCTCCTACCTATGGCCAGTGCTCAGCCACATCTTGTTTCTATGTTTTGTTTTTTGTTTTTATTGTATAAAAGTTCTACTTGTGTGCTTCTTTGTATTGCCTCCCCCTTATGGGGGCCTTTAAGGGATAATAAATGAAATGAAATGAAATGAAATACCTTTTTAGGAAAGCATTAAGAATTCCATCCTGGCCACACGACTTTCTAATGTCTAGCCATAGAAGGCTGTCAAGGATCCCTTCTGTAGAGACTACTAGGTCACTAATCCCGTGATTGTTATAGGTGAATGATGGGAAGACAGAGTTATCAACACTGTACACAGACAAAAGGAATTATTAAACTCCCTAGCGACGCGCTGTTCATCGACATGCATCTTCCCGCTATAACTAAGCTCCTAATTGTTACTTTTTTTTTTTTTTTTTGTATCCAATAATGAAGCACAACTTGGCCTATGCTGCACAAATTTTAAAAATGCATTCACTGCTGCAATAAGGTAAGTAAGGCACTGGCAGCTGACAATGGCTGAATATAAGAGCACTTTCTGTCTCAGCAGAAAACTTCAAGGTTTTTATTTATGCAATATATCCAAGCTTGATTAAAAAAGTAGTTTGTCCATTTAAGAATTTCCTCAGCTTAGTGCATGTGTTGAGAAACATGGTACTATGCAGTAAAACATTCTGGCGACTTACCCTTAGAGAAAAGAGAAGAATTTGTTTCCATATTGGTATGGAGACGTGAATGGCAAAAGGAATTATGCTCTAATAGGAAACAACGTGATCGAATGACAGAAAACAATTAAAATATTTTCCCTCTAGTCAGAGCCGTCAGAAAAATAAATGGCCCCAGGTGTGTGCCATTCACCTGCCAAGGTCGACAGCGCAGCTCCGTAAGTTTGCTTCAATGCCATTCATTATGCTCACAATGTGTTTCAAACTGTATGCAATCAGTTACCTGCAAATATTAATGATAATAAAAAAAAAGGCCAATCACTAGTTACACAAGGTCGCACCTGTCTGACACCATATCTGCACTTCACATTCAGGTATTTTACAGTTTGTTTAGAATTAGTGACACTGGTACTCTTCTTAAACACATAAGAGTCTGGACATCTAATCAGCACTCCGCTACGCAGTACGAAGCTTCACACATTTATCGGCGTAAATTCTTGTAAATGCCTTCCAGACTTTGCTGTTAGTCCGACACCCTTTTAAATGTGAGCTAACACCAAGATTCTGCTTTGAGGACGAGACACTGAAAGGGGGTAGATTATCTACATCAAGAAAAAAAAAAAAAAAAAAGTGTTAGTGACGGGATGAACCTTTATGCCAATCAAGGCACAAAGCAGAAATACCACAAAGAAAAGTTAGGTATAGTAAGCATAATTTTCTTTGACTGTTCTAAAGCCCCAGACAGACTGAAGCAAGGAGGCAGCTGTTAACCCCTCTCGCAGATAACCTCCACGACCTGTGCCAAAAGGGAGAGAAAAGGGTGGGGGAAAAGAAATAAAAAACAGGTTAGCAAGAAACTCGTGCCAAACACACTGAAGTCTGCTTACACTTGGCTCCATCAGGATCGGTTCGAAGCAGCGGTGGATGGCACTACCCATGATTTCATCCAGCAGAACATGAACGAGACTGGAAGGAAAAACTCACATTGAACCAGTGGTCAATTTTATTAAAGGGATTCTCCACAGTTGTGCCAGTGATTGCAGATGCATTAGATATAAGAAAGTACCTTTTTAGCAAAACAACTAAGATATTATAAAAACATGACGTAAGAGGATGGACAGACATAATTGCCAATTGGGAACCGTGTCTGTCCATCCTTTTATGTCATGTTCCTATAACATCTGAATTGTTAAACCAACTTGCTCATCCTGAGTATGCAGCAAAACACATATAAACAAATCCACAGGCACTTGCAGCACACTTTTTTTTGTGTCACTGAATTTGTTCAAATTCATAAGGTTGACAGGACATAAAACTTAGTTTCATGGATGCAACCACATAATCTTGAAGTAAGTTTGAAGAAGGCAAACCCAGCCTTAGGGCAGATGTCGAGTAGCCTCCAAGCTCCAAAATAGACCTTTCACTAAATTACCCAAGCACCAAAAAGAATGCTGAGAATGTATGTACACGTGCTGCATGCACTTGCCTTTCCTGTATAAAATATTTCAAGTAAATAATCAAAATGAGGTGTTGTGGAACGCAGATGAAAAATGCCACTTTTTCCAGGTTTTTGCTTTCGAACAGTTACTGCTGCGAACGCCAGCGGGTTTAGCACGTGTAGTACCTACATCCCCGGCAATTAGAAATCAAACACGTGTGTCAAAGTGGGCATTTCGATTTGCCTCAAAAAGGAAATGTAATAGCCCCATTTCGTATTGAACAAAACCACTTTTAAGTTTCTTTCTTTTTTTTTTTTTTTTCAACAAAACTTTTTACATATTTTACTTATCCTCTCAGGTTCCAAGCTAAAATCAACTGTTTCCTGGAAGTTTTTCCTCTCAATCATACAACCATACTAATTGGTCAGAATTTGTGTTGTGTGGGGAATCCTGCAGACCTGGCAAGTATGCCAGTGCTCAAGAAGGGTACTGGCAAGTATGCCAGTACCCTTCTTTGAGCTCTTAATTTCGGTTTTACCATAAAGTCCCTCTCTCACTTCCACTTTAGAGGAAACGTCTTGGTTCTGGGGTGCAATTTTGCACAGGGAGTGTGTGGTCGTGCAGTGTAGAAAAGGGGGGTCACAGAATGTTTCCCAGCGCCTGTGGAGGGGGGAGGGGGAGGCACGGAACCCCTAAATCCCCCCTTGGGTACCGCCTTGTCTGAAACCAAAGTTTGGTAGCAAATACTTATACAACTATACACAGCATTGGAAACAACATAACTCCCCGTAATTCAGAGACAGTTACTGCGCTAAAAATAGTCACAATCCCAAAATCCAGAAAACTGGAAGCAGTTCTCTTCAGAATGCGAAGATATTACATTGTTTAAGTTGCATTAAAATGGGAAACTTTTCTGCAAGAGGGTGGTATCGCCACGAGCCACCAGAAATGCACAACCTATATTGGCCTCGAGATCGACCTGATGAAGCGCCATCATCGCCATAATCATCACCGCTTTGGTGATAATGATGGCGCTACTGTTGCGCTATCATCATCACCAAAGCGGGGATAGAAGCACTGCCGCCCCACAGGCTCTCTACGTTCGCGCGCGAGACTGCATAATTTTTGCGTTCATTTTGTCGCACAGTGTCGGTGGAAAAACGATTCTAGCGGAAAATGGTGCACTACAGTCCGGTGCTTCAGTGAAGATTGAATTGTGTTACCAGTGTACGGCCTAAATTTCAATAACCGCTCGTGTGGATGCGTCGTCTGCTCTAGGCAGACGTTGGGAAGCATGGATCATTACGACGGATGCCTCCCTCCGGGTGAACTGCATTATTTATGTTGAATATATATACATTTTTTCTTAAAATATATGTATTGGTTTAACAGCGTGGGAATTCAACAAAACATTGAATTTTAACTTGGATAACATAATAATGGTACTGTGGGCTGTAAAATCGCAGGTTCAGTTTTTTTTTTTTATGTTTTAGCTTTTGAAATAATATAAATATTTAACATGAAGAGAAGTTAGTGCTGTATTGAAAATTACCGTGCTATTAAGCTCTGCTGCAGGCAATGTTTCCCTTTACTGCGCCATGGTGTGGGTAAGCTTTTCGGAGTCGGAACAATTCTACTACGTTGCGATGAGGAGAGAGTGCCTCTTATAGATACGATCTGCAAACTGCACGTTGGCAGCACAACTGAAACAAACTGTTCTAATATATCTGCCGCGAGTGTAATGAGCTAGTGTAACCGAGCAATGCAGCAACGTTGGTGTTATTAAATGTTCTTCTCGGTAGTGTGGGTTCACCCGCTTCAATCTTCATAATGAGGGCCGCGATTGTCTATAGGTTAGTATCATAAGTTTCTGGCTAAATAATCTTCTATTCAAACACAGTGGACTCTGCAACTTCAACAAACAGCCCGCAGCACGACACAGACAACATCGGCCGCAGCGATACTCTTTTACTGATGAGGGCTAGCGACCTTCACGAGACTTTCCAATCACCCTCCGCCCTCACCTAATACACATCGGGACTGGACAGTTCATCGATTAATCTTTAGATTATTCGAGTAATGCTCTAATTGCGTTTTTTTGCCGTTTAATCGGAATATTGTGCTGGAGAAAGTCAGCAAAAAGTAAAAGATGCCTGTTTCAATATTTCTGACTTCTTTATGTCTTTTATGACACAGGCATGCACGGTAAACCACTTCACTGTGCTTGTAATTGTTACCGAGGGTGGTTATACTGTTCAAATAATAACTTAAAAATTACTTCACTTTAAAAGGCTTCCAGTGTTCATATTTCTGGAGATGTCACAATGAGAAGTTTAAAATTGGAATGCAATGTGCTATTTATGACATAGTAAAAATAGTAAAAAATGTGTAGTTTTAACTTCTTTCATGCAATATGACCGACGAAAAATCATCCAATGGATTTGTCGATTGGTTAGTCTATTAAGGTAGCGATCAGTCGAGTTAATTTTCTAATCAAACCATAGCTCCAGTTAGCATTCAATGTTTTATGAAAGCTATTGTTTGTGCGAGATAACAGAAATATGTGGGACCAGCGGTTGTATATGAACCCAAAACACTAAGATTATGGAAGCTTCCGACTTAATAATAATCGCTTTGCTGTATTTCCACGCATGTGAAACGATACAACACAACCTTTAGTAAGAAGAAACGACAACTAAAACATCAAACATTTAACAAGGAGGGTCAAGCTGAGCCGGAAACGGGCTTGTGTCGTCGATGTCCACACTTCTGAATGTGCGCCCGTAGCAGATGACGCACGGCGGTATCCCCGCTTTCGCATGTTTCTGATATCCGCCGCAAGGTGGCGATACGGTTCGATCTCGAGGTGAATACCACAACCTGAATCCTATGAATGTTGGCCAGTCACCCACCATTGTTTCCACTGAGCAATTAAAAATCTTAACCAATAAAATCAGATTCTGGCCACACATACACACTTCATTACATGTTTTAAAAACTGGATTGTACCATAGTTTCTTCTGAGCTACACAACCAAAATGCCAAATAGCTGGACCACCCATGCTATATCCAAGCAGTTACATGAAGGTGACAAGCATTCTTTCCCACCATCTCTGCATCAACTATTATGACAGTTTTGACACTCGCAATCAGCTACAGGAATAGTTAGGTCACCTCAATATCATAATTGATGGCAGTTCATACTCATCCCGGTTCTTCAACCAAAATAATTTTCCTAGGTTATCTGGGTGTAATACACATGTTGAAATATTTGCTGATATTCCAACTACTCAACATCAAATCATTTCTTTCAGGGAAAACTGAGTGGGGAATGCTTCCTGTCTACCTCCCAAGCCAGAAAGGCTACCTTTGCTCTACAAGATGTTCCAATTTGCAACCCCCACCTGGCACAATTCTTATCAATACTCATAACTTGGCAAACTATGGGAGCTACACCCTTAGTGAACACCACCTGCCTGCGTTAAGAAATTTTAAGGAGCTGCTTATGCATCTGCGAGACTATTGATTATGAATTGAAGTAGAAACTCGTGTCAGGACATTGGCCTTAAACCATAGGTTCCTATTGGCCCACTTTGCTCAAAACGATTCCACTCTTGAAGGAAAGTGGAACAGAATTTAAACATACATGAAAAGAAACATTTTTGTTCTTCTGCAATAACACATTGAACTGTTTTGTAAATATTTGCGCTTAATGGTCAAAGCACCAAGACAAAGACACAACAGCATGTGTATGCAATGCAGCAGCCCTAGCTTGCAGAACAGTCCTGCCAGCGAATGTGGATGTCGCATCAATATTTCAAAGCAAAGTGAATGTAGACCTGAAGTTAGAGTTGTAGCCACTAATAACAAAGCACTGATCATGTGTGTTCAAGTGCATTTTAAATGAAAAAAATTAAAAAAAAACATGTCACCACTACTCTCTGGTGCAGACATCACACTTTACAGTGGTTATGATGAGGCATTGTAGCCTCTGCCGCTTATTAAGTTAGGCTGAAATGGAGCGGACAACACGCAAACAAGTATGCCTGCTGTCAAAAGGAGATATTTCCATGATGTCTTTCTATCGTTTTGTTCAATGCTTTTGTGTGCTGTATCATTGCATCATGAGGCCAACAATGATGGTTGCATGTCAAATGATAAAGGGAGTTGTCCACATGAGCTCAGCAAACAAAGGTCAACAATATGGTGGCCAAAGTAACATCTGTGAATTAACTGAACATTTTTATAAATCACCTCAAAATTCTATATTTAATTTTCACTACCAGCATCTTTTTGCATTGTAAAGTTTAAATACAAAGCGAGAAACACCGTAAAAGTTTACTATAAACACTTTGTACTTCTAAACTAACTAGAGTAATCTTTAGATGCAACACTTTCTGAAACAGTCATGGATACGCATTTGCTTGTTTGTCTTCCCAGCTTTCCCCATGCAAGAACATGTTGAACTGGCATTTCAATGATTAATATATGTCTATGGTTGTAAGGACAGTGTTACATGCTGACTTGAACATGCTCAATGTTTCTTGGCATGCTTTCCAGAAAGTCCAGCACGCCTACAATAATTGATTCCAGATAAGCTCTTGGTAGTTTTTGCGATACTCACTTTTCATCACTGACGAATCTCCAGAGATAGAGTTGCAAGTAATGAGTGTCGACTTGAACTTGTTGTAGCGCATAGCGGCTAAACGTCTTCAGTCGCACGCACTCCAAGAATGTCTGCAAAGTAATGCATCGGCTCAGAAGCTTAGTAGTCCTTCATTATCATAAAAGGCAGAATGGAATCATAGAGAAAATATTTCTTTGCATCTCGGAGCTGAGAGAGGAAAAAAAAGGAGAGGGTCACACCTTGAGACCAATCTTGATGATACCCGTCATGACCGACACCCGGGAAAACTCGACCGTGGTGAAGATGTCAATCTTCTCCGAGAAGAGCTTTTGGATGTTACTGAGCAAGCTGTGATCCACGCTGGAAGGCCAACGTGCACTCCAGTGGGCCCGTCCTGACGCACTGTAGGGGTAAGTGCGCCTGCTCGAGTCGCTGCTGCGCTCGTTCCGGGCCCCTTCCTCGTAGAGTTGACCCACTCGCATGTCCACCGCCGTCACGTCTTCCACGACACGCTTCATGACTGCCCGGACGTTGCGTGGCTCCAAGGCATTCATCCAGTCACGCGTCTCCACGCTCTTCCTCAGCATCTGCACAGGATCCCTCGACTTAGTGGACAACAATTCAGCGACACGGGTCAGCCAGTGGATCGAACCACCCGAGACACGGGTTGCGTATGCCCCAAACGGGCTTAGCAAAGGCGCCTTCAATGTGCCACAGCGCTGCTTCTGTTTCTGGTACTCATTAGTGCTGCCGCATTGATGCAAAAAAGGAAGGCTATCTCGCGTGCTTCTTAAAAGACTGAGGTTTAAAAAGATTGGGTCTGGTTTCTCCTTTCCATGGCCTTGTTCAGTGTTCAGTTGCATTCATTATCTAGAATTTGACGTAGCATCCTACAACCAAAGAGGATTTGAAAACATGTCTACTGGGTATTGGCAGTTTCCCTGAAATCCATCGCCAAGTGGTTATAAAGAAACTGCTTGTCGAGCTCACAAACAACACAAATTTTAGAGCCACAATTGGAGCTCCTCAGACTCAGTCAAATCCTCACCTGAGAGATTATAAGGCCCTGAACCCGCACAAACTGGTCGATGAGTGTCTGCAACCAGGAACGAGTTTTGAGTGAAAGACTCCACATGTTTAGAGTTGCATCAAAACAGCCTTGCGAGCAAGACCCACCTGAGCAACATCACTTGTCTCCTGTACAAGCAATGATGCAGGAGTCAGGTTAGGAGAGTCTGGTGCCCCAAACAATTCATCAGCCATACCAAGCTGCAATTGAGCAAGAATGCAGAATTCATTTGTGCAATGGAGATCATAAATGTGATATGTGATTTGCGCACCAAATAGCTCTTACCAGCTGATTGACGAGTGCAGTCTTCATTTCTACACTGAAACGTGACAATAGCAGAAGAAGGCTTGGTGGTGCTCCACCACTCTTCTCACCAGCTGTTTCACAAAACTCCTGCAGGGCAGCAAATACACATACAATTTGAAGTTTAAAAAGCAGCTAGGAATGGACAAATACAAAATGATAAGGCAAATGAGGTTACAAAGGCATCTAAACATTCGTGATTACACAGCACAGAGCATATCCTTATATGCTCTGGACATGTCCAGGTTCTCTGAGACATGTCTCATATGGTTCTAAAATAATGCAGTAGTTGGTCTGTGAAACCTAAATTAATATACTTCCAATCTCTTTATAGCCCAAATATAACAAACAACTGAAAAGTGAATCTGATGAAAACCCGTGAAATTAACCAGTAAAGTAGAACCTTGATGATATGTTTTTCCAGCTGTTACATTCACGAATGCCAGTTCCGTTGAACTCTCATACGGGTGCGTTTATAAGTTTCCCATTTCTTGGTTTGCCTTCCTAGAAGTAACGTACAAAAGCTGCCACCCAACGAATAAGATGATTCATATGGAAGCAGCTTTCTCTTTGATCTTGGCATATATATCCAGCACCTCATTCTAAACTCATCAAAAGGGCAATTGTGAATACCGGTCTCAGAGTGGCCCTAAATATCTACTGTGATCACCCGGCAAGACGGAGCTTTGAAACGCAAGTGGAACGACTCAAGGTGTCTGGCTATCCTAGTACCATCTTGTCTGATGTCGTCAAAAGCATGATTAGTTTGAACAAAAAAAAAAAAGAAAAAAAAAAGGCAAGTACAGGACTTAACATATTGCTGTTATGCCCTACTACACCGGCCAGCTATCCCATAACGTCAAAAAGGCTGCCTCGAGGTATGGCATTCCACTGGTGTTTTCAGTGCCGTGCAAACTGAAGAGGCTGTGTTGTAAGATCAATTCTCCGCAACGTCACCACGATGACTGCAACGTAAGGCACAAGTATACATATAGGGTGGCCACAAGCCAACTTGACGCCGTGAAACGAGCCGGAAAAATCGGCACATGCACAAAGAAGCTCAAACTTTTGCCAAATGTGCACTGAGCAAGTCAGTTTTATTGTGTGAAATTTCAAGGCGTAGTTCTGTTCCTGTAAAAAAATGAAAGCAACAAACTTGCCAACACACACGTCGGGCACATTCGCACACAACCGAGTTAGCGACACTATTAACTTGTGGCGCCATCTCCTGACAGGTGCAGCGAGCAGACAACAAAATGCATCGTCTGTTCACTGCACCTGTCAGGAGATGGTGCCACAAGTTAATAATGATGCTACCTTGGTTGTCTGTCAACGCAGTTGACGTGGGCTTTGGCAAGCATGTTGCTCTCATTTTTTACAGGAAGAGAACTATGCCTTGCAATTTCAATGGTAAAATTGACTTGCTCAGTGCACATTCGATGAAAGCTTAAACTTTCTTTGTGCAGGCGCAGATTTCACTGGCTCGTTTCACAGCGCCAATTCCACTTGTGCCACCCTATATGTACCATGCAAAAGCGGTATTTTGTAGAAGATATCATTCAACCCTCAAAAAAGTTTATGTGGGACAGTCTGGCCTATGTATAAATACTAGACTTCGAGAACATGCCTCATCTCTAAACTCCTTGTTGGTAGGACATCTCGCATTACAAGTCCTGACTGCCACTGCACGCCAATATTTAAAAAGAAGCCCCGAGACAGGTCCATAAAAAAAGAGTCCAGAAAACTTTATGAGGCACAGACCCCCAAAGCTCTTGTGGATGCTTGTGTCAGTGCACCTTCTGCGTTGTTGTTGGAAAAAGAACTGCTATAGGTACCCTGCAGATCTAACTCAGTGCCAATATGCGCGCCTCTCGCGGTGGCAGCACGCATACTCATCGGGAAGCAGCCTCGGCAGTCGCAGCTCGACTGCAGTGGTACACCGCTGGGTGTTGCAAGGTCGACATGCTTGCTTGGGCTACAGCAGGGGATGCACGAGCGGTAAAACTGGTTGCCAAGCAGCGCTCCCCATGACGCACCAGCTGGATACGCGCCGATATTAGTGTATCCAAAACACGAGCGCAAAAACCCGTCACGCGACGCACATAGCTGATGGGCCAACATTGGCACCGAACGTAGAGCGATGGCAGTACTTCGCTTTAAAATGCACTATTTATGTCCAAAACGTAAAGTATTCAGATTAAAAATAAAACAAATAAAACCGGCGCAAACATTCTTGTGCCACCATTATATTACTATTACAGTAATAGTCGTAAAAAAACAACAAAAAAACACATTACCGCAAAACGTATGTTCGGAAAAGCAAACAACGCTGTTTCCTTTTGTTACCTACCCAATCAAGCTGAAATTAAAAAAAAAAAAAAAAATATTGAGATTGTTCTAACAAATAATTGTGTAGACTGTATAAACATTTATTTAGAAATTCAAATGCAACGTGTCCAACTCCACTGAGACAACTAGAGGCGCATGGCATGTCAGCCCTGAAGAAAACATACCACGGAACGTATGCGGACTCCTGAACGACGCGTTTGGGGGTCTGAAGAGGCCCAGATTGAACAGAAAAGGCTAGTGGAAATCACTTGTATGAGACGTGACCAGCTTTCATGAACACTTGGCACTTTCATTCGTAAAAACACAGAGATGTTTTATTGACTTTATGCCAAGGAAGTCACACTGAATGCAATAATGATCAGGTGTTATGACCATGACATTGAAATGAGCAGTGACAAAGCGTATCCCTGAGCATCATAACAACATTATGCATGAGAGTAAATAGCTACTAAAGCAGTCAAAAATACTAATCGAGCAGAGAAATTCTGAAACACACAACACGTTTCTTTCTATCCCAGCGGCATCGAATGGCTGGCTCCACAAACCTGATGACGCCAAAGGTCACTCCTGTACAAAGTGCACCGTCTCGGCATCCCTTTCTACACCTCTCGCGTTAACTCCTTCGTCGGTTGTGGCAGTAACATTCCGGCAAACAGATTCCCTACCTTGAACTCAAACCACCGATACCAAACCAATCTCGCTCATAGTCATATTGCCGCTTTTCGGCACCGTCGTCATTGTTCATGAAGACCCGCCTGTTGCTAGTTGAGCTGGTGATTTCACAGCACCTTCCGTGTCATCCCTGGGAGTTTGAATAACTTCGCAGACGACTAGAACGTTCTCACGAGAGCATTTGAGATGCACAAAGCACCGAACCCAAACCAAACCAAACCAATGAAAACGGGCACCCAGCTGCCATGCGGCGCCCGTTTTTATCACTCGTATGTCCCCTGCTGCTCTCCCTACGCCGACTAAAAAGTGGCCGCGCGCAGAGCGGATCTTAGCGAATGCAAGGTGCCCATTCCTCTACCACCCCACATGAGGTGTGAGGTGATTTTCTAGTTTTTGTGGATTATCTTCTGAAACTTCTTCATTCCAAGTCATACTGAAAGAATTTTTGAAAAGTGACTTTTCGTTTTTCTTTAGTGTTTCTTTTCATTTTTTGCCTTTAATTAATGCAATTTTTATGGTTCTTTTCCACTGAATTTTTTTTTATTTATACTGTTCCTTTCATGTCTTTACTTTATTTTCGTCCTTTTTGTCCTCTGTATAACTTCTCCCACTTCTTTCTTCTCTTCCTTCAATTTGTTATTAAAATGGCAGTCGTGAATAGCGCTGTCCTGTCTTCTTCATGTCCTCGTCTGTATCTTACGCTTTATATAGTTAGTATGCTCAACCAACTGGCCCAGCTTAATATTTTAGTGCATTCATGGTATATGTTTCATGAATCTGGAGTTAGAGCAGCTATGGGTACCGTTTGCGACAAAGTGACTATGCGCTCAGCACACGGAGGCACGGATGCAACCTCGCACATTCATGTTACGTGAATCATATGAAAACTATAATTGCGCTGCTAGTGTCGCCTGTTGGCCTTGCCTGGAAAACCACAATACAAGCAAAAAATTCCAAAGATCATGACGTAGTTAGTGCAGCGTTGGCTGCACCAATACAGCGCCCTTGGCTGTGGAAGAGTCCTTCAATACCCTACTGGTCACGAAACAAGTTCGGTACAAGGTCGATAGCTGCCGCTAGGTGTACTACTGTCCTGGAAGGGGCATTCTTGTTTGCCCTAACCCACTCTCAGTGAGCCACCCCAAATTCGCAATTACAAGTAGCTTTCAAAAACAATTTCTTGTACACCGAAGTTTTGTTATGCCTGTATTTATCACTATATGCAAGCACCAGTCATTCTTTATTGATCTCTAGTAAGAGAACTTAAAAATTAACTATTTCGGTTGTTAAAAAAAAAAGCTTTGGCAAAAGAGTTAGGCAACCGAGCGTATTGGTTTGCAATGCCACTACTAGATGGTGCTAGCTGCGGCACTGAATTCTTATGTTGCGCAGGTATTAAAAAATCACCTTAAGAAAAAAAAAAAAGAAAAAAGAGAGATTGTTGCAGATGCAAGATTGTGCAGTTGATTGAGTGTACAGAGCCAAAGACACTTATAGTGAGAAATGCTGTCAGTACGATGACATGTTATCTTGATTTATAGGTGGTTCATTCAAAGGGGGTTTGAAATTCCGACACTTGCGGGTTGCCAAACCCCGAGCAGTGCAGGCCAGATTGGATTGGCGGCTCCTAGCCCCTTTGTCAACGTGGTTGCGCACCAAGCTCTCCCGCAGGATTATGGAGGAGTTTCGTGACCAGTAGTGTATTGGAGGACTCTGACTGTGCTGCACCTCCCTCGCTTGCCCACTAGGAGTAGCATAATTTGGTGGCTTGGCGCATCTCAAACTTTGTTGGCCAGTTAATAGATTTTTAGGTGGAATTAGATGGAACTATTTGCCGTGTGGTCTTTCTAGGTAATACTAGAGAACTGCATTGTATTCTCAAAATCGAAAATGAAATGGACTTGCCCTTTAAAGAGAAGTACTGTAAAACCCTTTATTTTCGCGGCCCCTATTTTTCGCGAATCGGTCACAGATGACATAATCCCGACCACTAAATTTCGCGAATTCCAGACGCCTGCATTGAAAATCTTAAGGACCGAAATTTTCGCGCGCCCTTAAATTCCGCGAAT